TTCCAGGGTCCCAGAGTCCTACATCAGGCTTCCCATGGGGAGCCTGCTTTCTCCCTCTACCCATGTCTCTGCCTGTCTCTCTGTGTCTCTTGTGAATAAATAAAATCTTAAAAAAAAATTTTTTTTAACTGGTTCTTGCCTAAAATTTCTCAGGAAGAATGCTCCATTGCTTGTGAGGAACTGTACTTCTCCAGTCTATACATTGTTTGTTTTTTTTTTTCTTGAATAAAGGACCTCAAACTTGTGACTGTATTGTATTATTTTTGTCATTTGACATTCCATAAAGTAGCTGTGACTTACTATGTCTCTGCTGTGAGCTTATCTGAACCTAAGCATTTTATAGCCCATAAGCTGAACAATAACAACAAAAAATGCTTTAAGTAATGTTACCTATTAAGTAAAATGGCATCTAGGTCCTTATAATAGAAAGTTCAAGATAGGCAGTGGCTTAAATGAGATGAAAGTTTATTTCCTCCTCAGAAAAACTCAAAGGTTGGCAGCCCAGGGCTGCTCCAGTAACTCCATGTCTAGGCTTCTTCATGGTTGCCGATCGCTGCTGGGGTACCAGCCCTCATGCCCTTTCGAGGCAGCAGCAAGATGGAAAGAGGAGGGGAAGGCAAAAGGAGGTTTCCCTATGAGTCCTATCCAACAGTCGCTTTTATATGTGATCCAACAAAATGGAATCACATGACCTCACTAAGCTACAGACAGAGTAGATGGGGTTGGAAATGTAGTCTTCTAGCTGGGTACCCTGGTGCTCCAAATAACCTCAGTCTTATTACTAAGGAATAAGGGCAGAATGTTCACTGCATAGACAAGGAGCAGTCTTGGCCATGGTCACCCTCACCTTATCCTCGAGCCTCAGAGTCTGCATCCTTGAAAGAGGATCATCATGATCCCTTTCTTGTCCAGGTCTTAGCACAAGGAATGCTCCATTATTGCTTGATGAGTACATTTTTGTACTTTGCCCACACCTGGGCTCACCCCATTCCTACATCTCATTCATTCTCTGATCCTAGTCCTAAGCCCTGCTTACCTCATCTCTGAATGATCACTATAATCAAAAGAGAAAGAATGCTGTTGGAGCAAGGGTTCCAGGATGGTCTAGGGATCGTGAACAATAATATACTCAGAGGAGGAGGGAGGTTTAAGAACAGAATCAGGCCAGAAATGTCAGGAATCAGAAATTTCTACTCTAGGGACTCTTGGCTGGCCCAGTCAGTAGAGCATGCAGTTTTTTTTTTGTTTTTTTTTTTTTTGAGCATGCAGTTCTTGATCTTGAGGTTTTAAGTTCAAGGTCCGTGTTGGGTGCAGAGATTACTTAAAGATAAAACCTTAAAAAAAAAAAAAGAAAGAAAAATATCTATCATACATACCAGTTGGTAACTTTTTCCTTTTTTTTAAGATTTTATTTATTGATTTGAGAGAGAGAGAGAGAGAGAGAGAGAGAGAGAGAGGGCATGAACGGGGAGGAGAGGGAGAAACAAAGTCCCCATGAACAGGGAGCCCGACATGAGGCTTGATCCCAGGAACCTGCATCCTGACCTGAGCCAAAGGCAGACACTTAACTGACTGAACCACCCAGGCACTGGTAACTTTTTAAATAGCTGGCATGTTAGAATGACCATGTTGAAATAACCCTAAGCCTTCTTTAAAAAGGAAAATTATAATTGTATCTTATTAATGCAAAGTAAGATGTGCTCAGTTTAGGAAAAGAGAAAGAAAATACAGGTAAGGAAGAGGAAAAAAATGAAAAAATGAAAAGGAAAAGTTATTCTCATTAGTCTTCACCTTGAAAGGGGCATTTTTTTCAGATCTTTACGTGTGTAAAGTTGATCCATGAAGAGTTTATGTAATGGTGTATGGGTTTGTACTATTTATAACGTTTTGAACTTGTTAAGCCTTATTTTAAAAGTCCTATTTTATCATGCAGACACAACTTTACATTTGATGGAAAAATTTTTTTGAAGGTAGACAGGCTTTCTATGTGAATTCTTTAGTATTTTTCTTTCCCTTTACTGAAGACATGCAACAACAGCAAGGTGGGCAGAAGGCAAGCAGCAGGAAAGAACATGACCCTTATCAAGAGAAATGGCAATTCAGAGACTGAACAAGTAAGAGAGATCTTGTTAAGGAACCCAAAATAGAACGTGCTTATGTCCCACCCAGAGCCATAGAAATGGACAGGGGCTGCTGCAGGGAGAGCTTGAGATCTGACTCTGAAGCTTGGTTTCCTTTCATGGAGAGGAAATGGGAATAGTAAGAACTATTTCAGAGGGATTTGTTATGATGATCAAGTAGGAAAATATGTCAAAACATAACCTAAGGGCAGTCCCGGTGGCCCAGCAGTTTAGTGCCACCTTAGGCCTGGGGTGTGATCCTGGGATCGAAGGTGTGAGACCTGGGATCGAGTCCTGCGTCAGGTTCCCTGCATGGGGCCGGCTCTGCCTGTGTCTCTGCCTCTCTCTCTCTCTCTTTCTCTCTCTCTCTCTCTCTGTCTCTCATGATAAATAAAATCTTTTAAAAAAAGAACAAAAACATAACTTACAAAGTACTACCCATGTACTTAAAAATACAAAACTTATAAACTATTAGAGCTAAAAAGACTTTCGGTAACATCTGGTCCATATGCATATTAATGTTGGATAAATGGAGGGCCACTGTTTACTCGTATTAATGTACTGAATAAAGAACCTTAACTATGGAACTGACACTAGGAAACCCCTTGTTAACTGAGCACTGGGAAATGACAATGAGTTGCTGACAGTACATTGTACAAGGGTATCTGACAGAGTGCTGAGGGGTTGGAAATGTAATGGTGTATGGGTTTGTACTGTTTGCCAGTCTGTTTGCCAAGCTGTGTACTTTTGGAGTGCTTTTTGCCCAGCGAGGTGTCTTTTCTTAATTTGGCCAAATGTAACCAATGGTATGGTAGAGGGCTGATCTCTTTCCATGGGATGATGGACTGACTGTCCCTTGCTAACAGCAGCATTGCTATTCTGGGGCAGCATTCCAGTCAGCTGACTGAATGCTAGTACTGGATACCCAGCTGCTCTCTCTGGCCTTTTGGGTACTGTGGTCAATTACTGCAGATGAGAGATGGTCGGTCAATCTTCCCTTCTATCCACTTGTTATCTCAAACCACACTTTCAGTGCTAGAGTGAAAGGAAGTTATTGGTGGCAAATTATGTGCACCAGTAGGTTTTCTTTTCGGGGTCTTAGGAAGGAAGCTTATGGGGGCTCTTACTGAATGTTGACATTCCCCACTTTACCTTAGAAGTTAGTGTTCTGATGGCATCTGTTACTGTGCACAGAGAAGTATTATAGCAACCTCCTGACTTTAGCTTGGTCATCTTCACTCCTTTCTGGTCTCTTAGTCTATGTCAACTCAGTAACACTAGATCCTTTTAGTCCTTCTTCTGCCTCCCCTGAGCCCAGGGCCAGTGATGGTTGCAGGGTGGACAGCAGCTTCATTCTAAGTTGTCAGTGACAGAAGTGTCCGTGAAAGTTGAACAGGAGGCATTCTCAGGATTTGAGTTATTTCAAAGTAAGTGTAAGCAGTTGAGGGGGAGGTATAGAATTTTTCCTTAATCTGCTGGGTATTGATTACCTTTAGCTCAAAATAATCTTCATGCCAAAGTGGTATACTTTGAGTGACAAATTCTGCTCCCCTTCTTGCTCTATAAAACTTGCTAACAACTGACCTCTCTACCAGCAAGACAGACACCTAGAGTTTGTAAGGAGAGGTTCAGGAGGCACATTCAAGACAGTAGGCAGAGAGCACGTGATCTTAGATGGGGGTTGGAAGATGTTCAGCACAGGATTATGGGAAGGGGACATGTGGGAGTACAGACTATAGGCATTCCATCACTATTAGGGCCTTTCTGGCCTGGTGATTGGGATGTTCCAGTCATTGCAAAACATCTTCATCAATGCCTTCATCAATGCAGAAATAAGAACAATGGGTTTTGAGTAGAGTATCAGTTAAGGGGTCTTGTCTGCTTCTGGCTTTAACTGTCGGAGTCTATGAGCAAGAGGACTAGCTGACACTAGAAGGTCTGGACTTGTTATGTACCTGCTAGAATTGAGGAAATAGAGTAGTATGATTGATTTCATCTTATTTCATGGATTTGGTTTGCAAGGGAAGCAGGTGTTGGGGATGAAGAATTTCCTCTGTCCTTCAAGATCCTTCCAGCTGGACTCAGAGTCAGATTGACAGGAACAGATTAAAAGGAGGAAATCAAATTTAATAGTGTACGTATGGGGAATCCATACAGACATGGAAATTCCAAAGACAGTCAGGCAATGTGAGGCTTATATGATGATGAGCTAAAGAGAGGGCTAGGGGCCTGAGGATACCAACAGGAGAAAGACTACTAGTAAGAAGGTGAAAGGAGGTGTTTGAGAAACACAAGTGCCCTATTACATAGAGAAATTTCTTAGGTAAAGAGGGATCTTTGTTAATAACTCTCTTCCTGGGCTACATGTGTGGCTCAGTCCGTTGAGCATTAGACTCCTGATTTCAGCTCATGTCATGATTTCAGGGTTGTGGGATCAAGCCCCACATCAGGTTCCATGCTCGGGGGAGTCTGTTTGAGATTCTCTCCTTCTCCCTCTGCCCTGTCTCCCTGCTCACTCACACATGTGTGTGCTCTCTTTCTCTCTCAAATAAATAAACAAACAAATAACTCTCTTCCTGGTACTTTTCCTGAATCTGCTGGGTTTTACTTGCTTTTAACTGAAAATAATGTTCATGCCAAAGTGGCCCATTTGGGGGCTGCCTACCCTTGGCCCCTACAAAAGCATGAAAGCTTTCTCAGGAACTGTACTTTCTGTTTGAACAAACTTAGGGTGGATAGTGTGCCTGGGATATGACCCCGTGGTGTTAACAAGGACATGCTTCCAAGTGACATGAATAAATGATAGAAATAATTTTATATGTTGCCTCATTTACCTATTCTTTCTCTTCTTTCCTGTTTGCTTTCTGATTTTCCTTTGAGGTTCCTGAGTCCAAATCTGGTTCCTAAGAAACATCAAGGGACGCCTGTACCAGAGGCCTTAGAAGGGTCTCCTTGGCAGCAGACTCCGTCCACTGTGTGACAGAATGACATCCCCCACCAGTGGGCTCTCTTCATTGCTGCTGCTGGTGACTGTTGCAGGTAGGAAACCATTGCCCTGGAGATGTGAGCATCACACATGAGCTTCCCATCTTTGGCTTAAACAACTCAGATCAGAAACAAAACAGATGAACCTAGGGGAAGGGAGAGAAAAAATAAGATGAAATCAGAGAGGGAGACAAAGTATAAGAGACTTTTAACAAACTGAGGGTAGCTGGAGGGGAGGAAGGTAGGGGGATGGGGTAACTGGGTGATTGGGTGATGGGCATGAAGGAGGGCATGTGATGGGATGAGCACTGGGTGTTATATGAGACTGATGAATCACTGACCTCTGCCTCTGAAACTAATTTACAGCAACAGTAACTCATGATCAACCTGAAATGAAGTGTATTTGCATTCCAACAGAATTATTTTGCATATTTACATTACATTTCCCTACATATTTTGGCATGAAGGCAGACGGCATGTGCAAGTGGTTTTCTGGAAACAGGAATTCAAATAGGTTTTGTTGGACCCTGGCTCATGGGTGCCAACGTGTCCCGGTGGACGCCCCAGAGACTCAGACCCCAGACAGGCAGATGCAATCAGCAAGAGGGTAAGAGCCCCGATTAGCAATTACAGGGATCTTTTAAAGGCAAAAGGAAAGAAACCGCCTAAAGGCAAAAGAACCGCGGGAGTCGCATGGCATCCAGGTTGATTTCGGGGAGGGTCAATATGAACCTATTCAGGGACATTCCAATCAGGGTGTGGGGGGGAAATGGTTTTCTTATTGTGAACAGAATGCTTTTAGTTGCTAAAATTTCAAGAAGGCGCCTGGATGGGCTGCCTCTGGGTTAGGGCTGGCCCTACTTACAAGGGGGGAGGTTTCTTCATTTTTTATTATTATGATGAGTTTTGAAAAGATAAAGTCACATTTTATATATACTAGAAAAACTTAATGTATTTATTTAAAATGAATGATTACTTAGCCGATCTTTTTTGGAAAGCAAATCACCACAGTCTCTTATATCATAAATCTTTATTTTCATATATTCTGCTTGCTTACTGTGGACATACCCATGATAGGAAATCACTTGTGAGCAGCAGTGCTGGTGATCTGTTTCCTGGCTAGGCCAGTTAGGGCCCCTTTGAACTTACCAAGGACTGAGGATGGAGATATGGACAGGAAAACTGATTTTATGTCCTGGATTATCAGAGTGTAGTGAAGCCATAGTGAGGCTTACCTGTGTTAAAACAAAACAGAAATTCAACTGAGTAAATTTAAGGGTCTAGTTAGCTTTACTCAAGGATTCCTGAATTGGGCAGCATTCCATCTAGAAGGTAGAAGGGAACTCTAAGGAGCTGTACAAAATGTCAGAATTTTATAGGCAGAAGGAGGCAAGGTCATCTTCCCAGGAAGGCAGGGAATCTTATGCAGAAGACCTCAGGAGTAGGATCAGGACACTCCTGACAGATTAGATTGTGCTCCTGGAAGAGGCTGGATCTGCAGTTGCAATATCAGTGGGGCTTCACATAAGTAATTCTGTTTGGGACCCATTTCTTTTTTTTTTTTTCCCCATTTCTTTTTAACCCTAACAGTGACCTTTGTTAAAATGCAGTTTTCTCTGCATCCAGACATACTGCTCCAGAAGGCCTAGCAGTTGTGGCTCAAGTGTCTGAAGCAGCTAAATTATAAGCACTGTTGAGTACACAGGAGCCACCTCAGAGAGTTCTATTGCTGAAAAAGCCCTGCCAATCCCCCTACTGTACTAATGTTTGAGTATTCTTTTTTTTTTTTAAATCCCTACTTTTTCATTCCTTTTGTGATTTTTCTTGTGATTTTTCCATTAATTAAAAATTCCTCGGCGGCCCCGGGTGGCTCAGCGGTTTAGCACCGCCTTCAGCCCAGGGCCTGATCCTGGAGACCCGGGATCCCACGTCAGGCTCCCTGCATGGAGCCTGCTTCTCCCTCTGCCTGTGTCTCTGCCTCTCTCTCTGTATGTCTCTCATGAATAAATAAATAAAAATCTTTTTTTTAAGTTTTTATTTATTTATGAAAGTCACAGAGAGAGAGAGGCGCAGAGACATAGGCAGAGGGAGAAGCAGGCTCCATGCACCGGGAGCCCGATGTGGGACTCGATCCTGGGTCTCCAGGATCGTGCCCTGGGCCAAAGGCAGGCGCCAAACTGCTGCGCCACCCAGGGATCCCAATAAATAAAAATCTTAAAAAAAAAAAAAAAAAAAAAAAGAAGCCTTTAAAAATAAAATAATTTAAAATAAAAATTCCTGGGCAGCCCAGGTGACTCAGCGGTTTAGCACCACCTTTAGCCTGGGGCCTGATCCTGGAGACCCTGGATTGAGTCCCATGTCTGCTGCTCCCTGCATAGAGCCTGTTTCTCCCTCTGTCTATATCTCTGCCTCTCTCTCTCTCTCTCTCTCTATCTCATGAATAAATAAATAAAATCTTAAAAAAAAAATTCCTAGGGCATCTGAGTGGTTCAGTCAGTTAGGCATCTGCCTTCTGCTCAGGTCATGATCTCAGGGTCCTGGGATCAAGCCCTGTGTAGGGCTCCTTGCTCAGTGGGAATTCTGCTTCTCCCTCTCCCTCTGCTTCTCTTCCCTTGTGCTCCCCCTGTCTCTCCCTTTCAAAAACATAAATTCTTCATATAAATTATTTATTTAAATTCTTAATTTCTTTATTAGTAAGTTTATTTGTAGCTTGCCTGTCTTCCCTCTCTGTCCTCTTTACCTTTGACAAAATGTTAACCAATGATTTCATTGATGTATCAACAATCATGGATTGTTGGGCACTACTATTGTTGTGCCCAAGATTGCGAATCCAAGAAACCACCAAGGAGTCGACACCGATGCAAACACACGAGGGTTTATTTACGAGCTCAAGCTTGGATCCAAGTATACCCAACACAGCGGAGCGGGGACTTGGACCCCCGAGCAGGGACTTGGAAGGGCTGGTCTAGGGGACCTCCAGAAGGAGTGGAGGAATTTCTCAAGTTCTGTTCACATTCTGATATGGGGCTTTCAAGGGAGTTGAGCTCTATTCTCATTTTAATATGGGGCTTCCTGGCACTGGCTTGGGCTCTGTTCTCATTCTAATATAGGACTTTCTAGGGCGTTAAGCTCTAATCTGTTTTTTTCCTCTAACTGAAGTAAGGTAAATTTCAGCTCTTATTCACAGGGGCCTGGGATGGCTGTACTTGTGCTAACGCTGAACTTTAAGTGGAATGGCCCTAATTTTCTCGGCCTCCACACTATGTTCACAGATTGGGCTGGGACTATGTAGAAGGTACAAACATGGGTGAGTGTCCTCTGGTCTTTTTGAGAGCTTTGTTGAAGGAGTCTGATAGAGTCTGAAGTAATTATGGCAATTTGGCTCACAGAAGAATGGGTGAGTTGTTGGAAACCTTCTCAAACTTCTTTGAGATCTCTGCATATGGTATGTCAGTCCAAATGGACCATTCAGGTGATTTTTTGCAGAACAAAGGATTGATCTACCCCAGAAATATGTGGAAGTCTCTACCTGAATGAAGGCTTCTGCCATGGAAAGATCTCCTTGGCCACTGAAACAATTTGCTTGCTTCAGGATCACAGCCTTCTTTCTGTACAGTGGTTTCTTCTTCTTTTTTAAGATTGTATTTATTTATTCATGAGAGACACAGAGAGAAAGAGGCAGAGAGACACAGGGCAGAGGGAGAAGCAGGATCCATGCGGGGAGCCCAATGTGGGACTGATCCCCTGGCCCCAAGGCAGACGCCCAACCACTGAGCCACCCAGGTGTCCCTGTACAGTGGTTTCTGACAGTTTTACAAGTTGGCTTTTGAGCTGCTTTGTGGCCAACGCCAGAAATGAAATATGGCAGTTTCTATACATCACACTGTCCAAAAGATGACCTAACAGTTTTTCAAGGGAATTTAAGGCACATCCCACCATGTGTGTTTGAAAGAAATTTCTAGCTTGGGTCTTCATTTAAAGGCCACTCAGAGATGTAGTGGTATCTTTACAAATATAGGCAACATTTTTGAGAGCAGAGGGGGAGAGTCCAAGATATATCCTTTATCATCTCTTGGTTTTATTTTTATTTATTTATTTTTATTTTTTAAAATTTTTGTTTATTCATGAGAGACAGAGAGAGAGGGGGGCAGAGACACAGGCAGAGGGAGAAGCAGACTCCATGCAGGGAGGGAGCCCGACGTGGGACTCAATCCCAGGTCTCCAGGATCACACCCCGGGCTGCAGGCTGCGCTAAACCACTGCACCACCAGGGCTGCCCCATCTCTTGGTTTTAACTGGAGACACTACTTTTTTATGTACAGCTGGAGGGTTCTCCCCCCCCACCCATATCCAAGATTAAGTTTTTTGTTATAAAGTAAAAGGCTAAAAGTATTAGGTAGATTTACATTTGAGAAACTGTCATTTCAGTTGAATTAAAATAGTTGGTTGCAAGCTTATTCATTTGGAAAGGTGCATATCTATTACATCTAATTCTTATTATATTGGGCCAATCAGACTTTCCTATTGAGTAAATAAGTGTTTGGCATCAAACAATTCTTAAAAATTTATAACGATGATCATGTGTATACAGGTAAAAATAAAGATGACTCCTATGCCGTATTTAACCATTTCTCTTACCTCCAGTTAGAAATGCCCTCTGTCAGTAGGAGGAAAGTAACAGTAATTTCAAAACAGTGTCAGTGATGAGCCTTCAGTAGGAAGGAGATCTCTACCAACAAATAAAGAAGAAAAGTGACTCTGCCCTTGGATTTCAGGAAATGACAGACTGCAGCAGAAGGTCCTGAAAGTCTCGATTTCTCTCATTTTGTCGTGGACTGCCGTTGTTTTGTGGTCCTGCACCCACTGGGTGTCTGCAGGGGAGCTCCACCCTCACACCTGCCCTGTTTGCCCAGTGGAGACACTGGTGGCTATTTGGAATCTGATTAAAGCTAGTTGTTCTAGACCTGTCCTGCAGGCAAGTTTTTCTCTCCTTTGATGTTTTCCCCGTTGATTGGCCTATCTTCAGAATAACCTGTGAAATTAAAAAAAAAAAAATCGGCTTAACAGAAGCCGTGATACGGTGTTCCTAAAGCAAACCTTTGTGACTGAATTTTGGGTGAGGGGCAACATGTTATCAGTAACGTAAAAGCAGTACACAGATGGAGAAGAATGCTTCTGTGCTAAGTGAAAGGACATGAAGAGGCAGGTGGAAGGTGGGCAGGGGAAGGAATGTCAGGATAGTGGGGCAGGGGTGGAAGGATGGGAGGACCAGTGTCCGGACCGATGTGGGGAGAGAGGGATTGTAAGATAGCACAGGGCACTGTCTGTGCAAACTGCTGGTGGTTTTGTTCCTCATTGGAGGCTGCGTTGTTTGCAGGTTGCACCCGGAGCCGATGCAGCGAGGGGAGGACGTTCGACAATGCCATTGTCTCACCCAACCTGGAAACAACCAGAATCATGCGGGTGCCACAGCCCATCCCCGTGGCAGACTGCACAGCCGCATGCTGTGATCTGGCCAGCTGTGACCTGGCCTGGTGGTTTGAAGGCCGCTGCTACCTGTTGAGCTGCCCACACCCTGAGAACTGCGAGCCCCAGAAGACGGGCTCGGTGAGGTCGCACCTCACCTTTGTGCTCAGGCCAACCCCGAGGCCAACACAACTGCTGGACTACGGGGGGAGGATGCTGCAGGCCAGGGGCTCTCCCTCGGGACTCTGGGGGGACTCTCCGGAGGACATCAGAAAAGACTTGCCCTTCCTAGGCAAGGAGCAGACCCCCGAGGAGCCGGCCAGGTACTTGGCGGACTACAGGGAGCCCGAACTAGACCTTGTCCAGCCCCACCGGCAGCAGGAGCCCAGAGGGAGAGCCCAGGACCCCCGTGGGGACCTGCACTCCGGAGGCCCGGCGGGCAGCACCTCCTCCAATGGACACAGCCGTCCGACAGCCGCAGAGAAGCAGGGGGAGCCCGCGCCCCATCAGCCGAATGGGTCGGCCTGGATTCCGGCCCTGAAACACACCTCAGAGAGCAGGTCGTTGGTCACAAGTCCACCCTCAGGAGAGGTGCGGGGAAAGGAGACTTTTCCGCTCCAGGAACAGCCCAGCAGCAGCTCTGGAGAAGAGGTGGGCCTGATTGCTGGAGACTGGGGCTGGGGCCAGATGAGAAGGCCTGTGTGGGGCTGGAGGTCTGAGGCCTACGAGGGCAGCCCTCAGAGCTGCCAGGTGACACCACACCTCGTTCTCTGCCGAGCTGTCAGGACCACACTGTGGGAAAGAACGAACAGCATTTCTGCCCTCACAAGTCAGCCACCTAGTGATGACTTAGCACTGCTCCCTCGGGTGCCTCTCCCAGTATTTCAGGGGAGCTGGCCCATCTGCACAGCGCACCTTTACATAGAAAACCCACAGGCTCCTGGTGGAGTCACCTGTGCTAGGCCCACTTCTGCAAACCAGGGCTTGCAAATCAACCTTCCCCAGAGAGGTAGTATTAATGGATCATTCTGGAACTTCCCAGCTTGCACTTGTGAGGTCATCCATGAATGAGACCATTTAGTTCCCCAAAGGGAGGTGACCTTCCTGGAAATAATCCCTTTTTTGTTGTTTACAGTTGCTTTATCTTGTGCTGAAAAACTTTTCCTTTCCCTAGCCCAGTGGAGGTCCTTTCTATAGGGTGCTGCCCCATTCATGAAAATGGTTCAATTGATTCAAAAAAGGCCAATTAGATCTCAAAAACCGAGTCAATTGAATTATTGTGGGGTTTTCTTTTAAGACTTTATTTTTATGTAATCTCTACACCCAGTATGGGGCTTGAACTCACAATCCTGAGATCAGTAGTCATTGCCTGAGCAAGCCGGGAGCCAGAATTGTGAATTAACAGATTTGGCAGCAGTCACAGTGGGATGTGAAGTACACTGCTAAAGGCATTCCAGGTGACCAGAAACACAGCTGAAACACAGCCATGGCACCGAGAACCCCTTTCTGCGTTCTTTCTCGCCTTTGCCCTAGGAACGCTCCCCTAGGTTCTGGTCTCTGCTTTCCTTGCAATGAGCTCTGGATCTCTTGCTTTCCAGAGTTCCCCGTTTGTTTGGAGTCATTAGCTCCACCGTGGGAACAAATGATTTTATGTGGGGCCAGAGAGTGAACAGTCAACACAGAATTCTTGAGACATTCTCAGTGCAAAAAAGGTGGTTTTATTAAAGCTCCCAGGGACAGTACCCTTGGGCAGAAAGAGCTGCCCTGGGATTGTGAGGAGGAATTAGTTACTTTTAAATCGCAGAGTAGAGACAAAGGAAGTTTTCAAAAGGATTTTCGTATGTTAAAGAAGATTTAGAAGATCCTGGAGGTCTAGCTGTTGTCAAGATAAAATTGCTGTTTGCCTCTGGCAAAGGATTAACATTAAGACAGTTGGGAGTTTCCAGAGAAATGTTTTAGTCGCAGCCTCAAGTATTTGTCCAGAGGTTACAAGAGGTAAGGACATTAAATTTTATCTAAATTTCTTTTGCCTTTGTTCTCCACATCAGGAACTGCTGGCAGTTTCAACCACAATCCCCCATTTGACTGGAACCCTTACTGTGGTTCTGGCCCAGTGGCAGCTGCAGACTCATTTGTTGAGGTTGGCTTAGCTCAACCCCTTCCCCGGTCCCTGGCTCCACGGTGGGAAATTTTGGAGGTGTGCACAGGACTTTTCTTGGCCAAGACACCGTAATAGCACCTGGTTACTACCCCTAAATTAAGGCGTGCACTTCCTTGTCTGGTTCTGTTGTAGATGAAGGGTGGCTGAAAGAATTGGATCTCTAAATTCTAAAGCATTAGATACACCTGCTTATTTTAGTCTAAGTGATATAATTTTGGAATGTTCGTGCAGTTGGTGGAATGAGGTCTGGAGCCGAAGACCAAGAAAGAATTCTTGAGACGTCTTTGGTTCAAAATGGTGTTTTTATGAAAGCGTGGGGGCAGGACCCGCCAGCAGAAAGAGCTGCTGCTCCAGGCTTGTGAGGGATAGCTGATTATATACCTGGGAGTTGGGGGAGGAGCGGAGGAAAAGAGAGATTTCAAAAGGGCTTTCATATGCTAAAGAGAACCTAAGGATACTGGAGGGCTTGGCAAATTCTAGAGGAGGTGGTTTTTCCCTCTGCAAGGTAGGGAGTTTCCTGGAGGAGTGTCACACTGACCCCACCCAGAAGTGGGGGTGCGGAGCTTGCAGGGTGTGAGCTTGTGTTTTGTCCTCAGCTGGCCTTCTCTGCTCACTCATCCTAAGGACTACAGTCCCTAAGAAGCTACAGACATCTATACATATGGAAAATCTCACTAAAACAACCTAGAATCACAATGGCCATTATGAGAAATGTTCCAGTGAAATAAGATCACTTAAAAAATGCACAGGGTGGGCAGCCCTGGTGGCACAGTGGTTTAGCGCCCCCTGCAGCCCAGGGTGTGATCCTGGAGACCTGGGGATCAAGTCCCATGTCGGGCTCACTGCATGGAGCCTGCTTCTCCCTCTGCCTGTGTCTCCGCCTCTGTCTGTGTGTCTCTCATGAATAAATAAAATATTTTTAAAAAATGCACATGGGGGTGCCTAGTTGCCTCACTTAAACGTCTGCCTTGGACTCGGGTCATGATCCCAGAGTCCTGGGATTGAGTCCTGCCTCAGGATCCCTGCTCAGCTGGGAGTCTGCTTCTCCTGCTTCTTCTGCCTGCCATTCCCCCTACTTGTGTGCGCTTGCTCGCTCTCTCTCAAATAACTAAATAAAATCTTTTTAAAAAAAAAGTGCACTTGGCAGCAAGGATTCCCAAATTAAACAAGCAGAATGGGGATACCTATTTTTGGAAGTCTCCAAAAACCTTCAAAATTCCCAAATAGCTTCATTAAAAGACTCATTTTAAAAGGCTAATATGAAAATTAACGACATAAGAGGTATCCTACAACAAAAGACTATGAGACAGACATGACTGCGCACAGCTTCCCCTCTACCCTCCTTGGTCTAACATCCATTCTGGCAATCTTCTGGACTGCTTTTCCACTTGAAGAATTATTATTAAACAGTTATCTTTTTCTTAAGATTTTTAATTTATTTATTCATGAGAGAGGCATAAACCCAGGCAGAGGGAGAAGCAGGTTCCCCACAGAGAGCCCTATGCTGGACCCAACCCCAAAACCCCGGGATCATACCCTGAGCCAAAGGCAGAGCTCAATCCCTTAGCCACCCAGGCATCTGTAAACAGTTCTCTTTCAAAATAAGACCACCAGTCGGATGCCTGGGTGGCTCAGTTGGTTAACCGTTCGATTCTTGATTTCAGCTCAGACATGATCTCAGGACCTTAAGAATGAGCCCCGTTTTGGGCTTTGCACTCACTGCAGTCCCTTTGTCCCTCTCTCTCCACTCCTCTGCTCACACACTTGCTCTCAAATAAATAAATAAATCTTTTTTAAAAAAGATTTATTTATTTATTTATGAGAAACACACTCACAGAGAGAGAGGCAGAGACACAGGCAGAGGGAGAAGCAGTCTCCATGCAAGGAGCCTGATGTGGGACTCGATCCCGGGTCTCCAGGATCACACCCTGGGCTGCAGGTGGCACTAAACTGCTGAGCCACCTGGGGCTGCCCTAAATAAATAAATCTTTAAAAAATAATTTAAAAATCTGACCACTGAAGTCATAGTATCCTCTTCTGGTACTTTTCATTTCTTCTTTCAAAGGCTGATCTAGATGCCATAAAGAATTTCCTAAGTCCAGGGAGGATCCTCCAAAGTTTTTAACACATATATTACCTTCTGAGATTAATGGATTGATAAAAAGGCAGAAAATAGGATGGGGGACCACTGTTCATGACCATAGCTGAGCACTTTGAAAAGACTGTGAATCAAGCCTATAAATAGTCTGCCAACTTGATATCCATACAGACATACCTGTATGGACCCCTTCAGAACTGACAAGACTCTGAGGGATTTTCGGGTAAATTCTTACTTATTCCCTTGAAATGGCCAAGGGGAAACTAAAATTAAAATTAATAAAAAAACCTTGCTAAATTCTGGTAAGTGCCTTAGCTATACTCTCCACTTTAAAACCCACTCGATACCTGTAGTAGAATCCTGGAAAAAGCAGGAGCTGGCTCAAAGTAAGGTTTATACCAGGGTCAGCTCTCTCAGATCTCTGTAGTGCCCTACAGAAAAATAAAAATGAGATATCTTTTGCATCATCTCTAGGAATCCTCTTGAGCCCAAGGAGTCATTCGGTGCTACCAGAAATATGTTTGTCCTTACTAAAAACTTCCTAAAAGAACATTCCTTCACTGTCTCTTTGAGATACAAATGTTCTACAAACTTCAGTGAGGTATTCTTTTTTTTTTTTTTTTTAAGGTTTATTTATTTGAGGGAGAGAGAGAATGAGATGGAGAGAGAGAGGCCGCATGTGCAGGATCTGGAGAGGCAGAGGGAGAGGGAGAGAGAATCTCAAGCCAGACCCCCTCACAGAGCACGAAGCCCCACAACATGCAGCTCAGTCTCAGGACCCCTAAGATCACCACCTGAGCCCAAATCTAGAGTCGGAAGCTTAGACTGAGCATCCCAGGTACCCTTGGTGAGGTAATGTTTATCAGAAGAATAAAAGAGGGAAAGGTCATTTGAAATTTGGGTCAATGAAAAATCACGTGATTTCTCTACAAATATTGATAGAGAAAGTTTTAGCCATCTGAGCAGATAAACTTATCCAAAATAAAAATCCAAAGGATTTTTCATTGCCCTAAATTTCAAAAGACCTTTCTACCTTTTTACTTCATGGTGAGTGAATGTATATTATCCTGTCACATAGCTAATATTTATTTATATATATATATGTATTCATTCACACATTTTTTAAAAAGATGTTATTTATTTATTCATGAGAGACACACACAGAGAGAGAGGCAGAGACATAGGCAGAGGGAGAAGCAGGCTCTCTGCGGGGAGCACCATGCGGGACTCAAACCCCCCATCCCCAGACTCCGGGATCATGCCCTGAGCGGAAGCCAAATGCTCAACATTGAACTACCCAGGCGTTTCTCATTTATTTTTAAGTAGGCTCCATGCCCGGCTGAGATCAAGAATCATATGCTCTACTGATTGAGCCAGCCAGATGCCCAATAA